TACTGGACATTGGCTCTGAAGTGACATTGGTTCCAGGAGACCTGAAGTGTCACTGTGGCCCTCCAGTCAGTCAGAGTAGGGGCTTATGGAAGTCAGGTGATCAATGGAGTTTTAGTTCAGGTCTGACTGAGTGGGTCCAGTGGGTCCCTGAAGCCATTCTGTGGTCATTTCCCCAGTTCCAGAATGCATTAGTGGAATAGATGTCCTTAGCTGCTGGCAGAATCTACATGTTAGTCCCCTAACCTATGGGGTGAGGGCTATTATAGTGGAAAAGGCCAAAAGGAAGCCCCTAGAGCTGCCTCTACCTAGGGCAACAAGACGTCAAAACCACTCTGGCATCCCTGGAGGGACCGCAGAAATGAGTGCCCTCCTCAAAGACTTGGGAGGTGCAGGGGCGGCACTTCCCTCCACACCCCATGTCCCCACGCACTCTCCCAACGGGCCTGTGCAGGAAGCAGGCGGATCCTGGAGAATGACAGTGGTTATTGTGAGCCTAACCAAGTGGTGACTCCAGTCGCTGTACGAGATGTGGTTTCATCGCCTGAGCAAATCAACACATCTGGTACCTGCATGCAGCTATCGATCTGGCAGTGCCTCTTTCTCCATCCCTGTCTATAAGGCCCACCGGAGCAGTTTGCTTTCAGCGGGCAAGGCCAGTAGTACACCTTCACTGTCCTACCTCAGGGGTACATCAACTCCCCAGCTCTGTGTCTCAGTTTGGTCTGCAGGGAGCTTGATTGTCTTTCTCCTCTAGAAGACATCACACTGATCCATTACCTGGATGACATCATGCTGATTGGGCCCAGTGAGTGTGATGTAGCAACTACTACGGACTTATCAGTAAGACATGTGCATGTTAGAAGGTGGGAAATAAATCTGACTAAAATTCAGGGGCCTTCTAGCTCAGTGAAATTTCTAGGAGTCCAGCGGTGTGGGGCCTGTCGAGATATCCCTTCTAAAGTGAAGGATACATTGCTGCATCTGGCCCCTCCTACAACCAAAAAAGAGGCAAAATGCCTAGTGGGCCTATTTGGATTTTGGAGTCAACACATTCCTCCTTTGGTTGTTACTGCAGCCCATCTACTGAGTGACTCAAAAAGCTGCTAGTTTTGAGTGGGGCCTAGAATAGGAGAAGGCTGTGCAGTAGGTCCAGGCTTTGTGCAAGCTTCTCTAACACTTGGGCCACATGCTCTAGCAGATTCAATGGTCCTTGAGCTGTCAGAGGCAGATAGGGATGGTGAGGGTGGATCACAGTGAGGGTCCTTAGGATTTGGGAGCAGGACCCTGTCATCATCTGCAGATAACTATTCTCCTTCTGAGAGACAGCTCTTGGCCTACTACTGGGTCTTAGCAGACACTGAATGCTTAACCATGGGCCACCACGTTACCATACGACCTGAACTGCGGATGATGAAAAAAAAAGGCCGGTAACCGAACCAACAAACCAAAAAAGTGGAAGGGCAAAACAACAGTCCAACAACAAAAGGAAAGGGCAATGTACACGATTAGGCTGGAACAGGTCCTGAAGGCATAAGTAAGCTACATGAAAAAGTGGCCCAAATACTCATGGTTCCTACTCCTGCTACCCTGCCTGACTCTCCCAGCCTGCACCATGGCCTCACGGGAGTACACAATGAGCAGTTGACAGAGGAAAAGGAGTCTAGGGACAGGGTTACTGATGGTTCTGCATGATATGAAGACACCACCCCAAAGTGGACAGCTCCAGTACTACAGCCCCTTTCTGGGACATTCCTGAAGGACTGTGTGGTGAAGGCAAGTCTGCCCAGTGGGCAGAACTTTGGGCAGTGCACCTGGTCGTGCACTTTGCATGGAAGGAGAAATGGCCAGATGTGCAATTATATACCAATTCATGGGCTGTAGCCAATGGTTTGGTTAGATGGTCAGAGACTTGGAAGGAACATGATTGGAAAATTAGTGACAAAGAAATCTGGGGAAGAGGTATGTGGATAGACTTCTCGAGTGGGCAAAGGATGTACAGATATTTGTGGCCCATGTGAATGCTCACCACGGTGACCTCAGCAGGGGAGGACTTTAATAATCAGGTGGATAGGATGACCCGTTCTGTGGATACTAGTCAGCCTCTTTCCCCAGCCATCCCTATCCTGGTCCAACGGGCTCCTGAACGAAGTGGCCATGGTGGCAGGGATGGAGGTTATGCCTGGGCTCAGCAACATGGACTTCCACTCACCAAGGCTGACCTAGCTACAGCCACAGCTGAGTGCCCACTCTGCCAGCAGCAGGGACCAACACTGCGCCCCTCTTATGGCACCATTCCCCAGGGAGGTCAGCTAGTTATCTGGTGGCAGGATGATTACTTCAGGCCTCTTCTATCAGGGAAGGGGCAGCATTTTCTCCTTACTTGAATAGACACTGAATACTGGAATACTGACACTTACTGGAATAGACACAGGATATGGATTTGCTTTCCCTACATGCACTGCTTCTGCCAAAACTACCATCTGCGGATTCACAGAATGCCTTATCCACTGTTATGGTGTCCCACACAACATTGCTTCTGACCAAGAAACTCACTTCACAGCCAAAGAAATGCAGCAGTGGGCTTGTGCTCAGGGACTTCACTGGTCTCACCATCTTCCCCACCATCTTCAAGCAGCTGGCTTGATAGAACAGTGGGAGGCCTTGAAGTTGCAGTTATAGTGCCAGCTAAGTGACAATACTTTGCAAGTATTGTCATGGTTCTCCAGAAGGCTGTATGTGCTCCGAACAGTGCAGCATCCAATATATAGTGCTGTTTGTCCCCTAGCCAGGACTCATGGGTCCAGGAACCAAGGGGTGGAAATGGAAGTGGCACCACTCACCATCACCCCTGGTGACCCGCTAACAAAATTTTTGCTTCCTGCTCCCATAACTTTATTCTCTGCTGGCTTAGAGTTCTTAGTTCCAGAGGGACAAATTCTTCCACCAGGAAACACAGTAATGATTCCATTGAACTGGAAGTTAAGACTGCCACCTGGTCACTTTGGGATCCTCATGCCCTGAATTGACAGGCTAGGAAGGGAAGTGTGGTGTTGGCTGGGGTGATGAGCCCATACCACCAATGGGAAATTGGGCTACTCCTCCACAGGGGAGGGAAGGATGAGTATGTCCGGAATACAGGAGATCCCTTATGTGTCTCTTAGTATTACCCTGCCCTGTAATTAAGGTCAATGGGAAACCACAACAACCCAATCCAGGCAGAACGACAAATGGCCCAGACCCCTCAGGAATGAAGGTTTGGGCCACCCCACAAGGTAAACAACCATGACCAGCTGAGGTGCTTGCTGAAGGCAAAGGGAACACAGAATGGGTCATAGAAGGAGGTATTAATAGTTATAAATACCAGCTACAACCACATGACCAGTTACAAACACAAGAACTGTAATCATCATAGATATTTCCTCCCTGTTTTGTTAAGAATATGTTTGTGTGTATATATACGTGTAGTAAGCAAATATCTTTGTTTTCATTCCTTTTTCTTACATAAGATATATTGACTTTATATCAGTAGTTAAGTATTGTTAATTTTGCATCATAGTATTTAAGTTATTGGATATCAGGAAAAGAGTAAACACCACCCAAGGACTTTCCCTCCTTTTCCAAGGGGAAGGGATTAGTGTCTTTTTGGTTGCACGCAGGATAGCTGGATTGTTAAGTGGAACCATTACCTCATTTTGTCTTTATTTGGAGATGAAGTATGTTTAAGGAGATGTGTATGGGTGTCAAGTTGACAAGTGGTGGACTTTGTGATGGTTAATTTTAGGTGTCAGCTTGACTAGATTAAGGAAGACCTAGAGAACTGATAACACATCATTTCTAAGTGTTTCTAGAGGAGACTGATGTGACAGTTGGTAGACTGAATGGGCAAGATCCATCCTCAGTGTGGGCAGGCACCATCCATTTGGTTGAGGGTCCCAGACAGAACACAAAAAGGCAGAGGAAAAGCAAATTTTTGTTTCTCTTCTTGCATCTAGAACACCCTTCTCCTCCTGCCTGCCCTTGGACATCAGAACTCCAGTCTCTGCAACCTTTAGGCTTCAGGACTTAAACCAATGGCACCCCATGTTCTTAGGCTTTCAGTCTTAGACTGAGAGTTACACCATTGGCTTTTCTGGTTCTGAGCCCTTTGGACTTGGACTGAACCACACTTACCAGCATTCCGGGGTCTCCAGCTTACAGATGGTCTGTCATGGGACTTCTCAGCCTCCTTAAGTGCATGAGCTGATTCCCCTAATAAATCCCCTCTCTCTACGTATATACATATCCTATTGGTTCCATCTCTCTGGAGAACCCTGACAAATACAGATGGGTTGTCGTGCTTAGAGGTCCATTAACTGAGCCCAGAGCTGCAGAGTTTCCAGTTCTTGGGTAAACTATATCGTGGATTAAAGTTTACTATGGAGAAAAGAACTCATTTTCTCTCCTACTTCTTCAGAATTGTAGAAATGGTGATGATGCGTGCATACATTTCTGGTTTCATTTGCAGAATTTGAATCTCAAACATGAATGGAGTAAAGACTGGGGGGAAATGGCAGAAAGTTTAAATGGGAAGGCAGAAAGCTGGTTGGTGCTAAGACTAAAGCTCTCAGAAATACTGACCAGAGTGACAGCATGGCCTCGACTGAACCAGGGGTGGCCAGGAGAGCAAGTGAGCAGATGAACTGGCTTAGCTCGGAATTGCTTTGCAATCTCAGAGTCTGGATTCAAGTCTCAGTTCTTCTACTTCTAGTTTGAGCAAAGAACTTAACCTCCCTGCAATTCAGTTTTCTCATTGGTAAAATAGAGACATCATAAGGATGTTATGAAAGTTACAAGGATGAAATAAAAACCATATAGGTGAGATAATTCCTATAGTGCCTGGCCCTTACACTCAATACTGTTGGGATCTGTTTTCCTTCAGACTCTGAGAATCAAACCCAGATGCCGTGTTAGATGGCACCCTCACCTCCCAGTTCTAGAAATCTACTTAAAACGTGGATGTCTGACGCAGCATGCATTTTGGTTGCTATTCCTCTCTCTCTAAATCAAATGCTTTATCTTTTCATGGAGACTGGTTTCCTAGTAGGTACAAACTGGCTCTTAAGCAAAGGATACACTCCGATTAAAAAAACAACAGCAATTTCCTAGTGGTCTAGTGATTAGGAAAAATAAATACAACAGCAATGACAATGCAACAGAAAACCTTGGTTATCTTGGGCAGACACCATTTTTCAGCAATCCAGTTTCACTTACTGAAGAGTTCACTCCAGAGAGACACACAGCAGGGTTGAAGGGAGAAGCTTTGAAAACACTTCAAGGCCATAACCTTATGTAAACAGAAATCTTATCATTAATAATAAGTATAGAAAATTACATGTTTGATAAGTGAGAGTGTATCAAAGTTGACAAATCTTCCCCTCTTTTCTGCCTTCTCTGCTCTGGCAGGTCCTGGGGCAGAGCTGGGCTCAACTCAGCCTCTGCTTATCCTTGCTGGTTTAGCTCAATGAGCCGGCCTGCAAACACAGCTAGGGTTCCGATCATGCAGACGAGCATGAAGACTCCGAGAAGAATGTGGTCCATCACCATCGCAACATACTTCCACTCCTCGGCCGCCTGGGAGAGAAGAGAGTGTTAGAATTTCCCTAAGGTAGTTACTGGACTCACAATGTTCGTGCTTTGCACCATCTGTGGGCCCTTCAATTTGTAGCTCTGGAAGCCCTCAATATCTCTTGGCTGGCATTCTGATCTTTATTTTTTGAATAGGTTATTCACAATGATTTAAAAAGTGGCCTAAAGTGGTCACCAAGGTACATCTTATCTCTTGAATGCCAACTTATGGGTCAAGCCAAACCCATCCGTCCATACTCATGCATTTGATCATTTATACCCAGAGGTGCAGATTACAAGCCGGGAAGCTTACGTTGTTGGACTCCTGGTCTGATTTCATGGTCTCTGCGATGTATTTGACGCCCTCAATGGCACTTTTCACTTCCGGGTGTTTGATCAGCGGAGAGTGGAAGCCCATGGGCGGAGGCCCTGGCTTCCCAGAAATGTCAGAAATATCAATGTCTTCTGTAAAAATCTTTTTGTCTTGCTTTTCTCTGGATGGTCTTTTCATTGTGGAGAAAAACATAATATTTGGGATAGTGTCGATAAAAACCTAACATAAAAAAAGAAATCCACGAATGAGAATTACTGTCAACAGGGCAAGCACCAAACTGTCTTTGAATGAGCAATGTGATCTTGGGAAAGTTATTCAGCTTCTCTGGGCCTCAGCTTCCTTGTCCTTAAAATAAAAGGGCTATACAAGATTTTCTCAAAGATTCCTTCATTTGTACCCTGGGGCATGTCAAATTACTGTGGTTAACAGTGATGATTCTGTAATGTGAGCGGTTCGCCACTGGAGGGAGCATGTGTGCAGCCGTTGATCTCACTAGACGCCAATGACGCTTAAGCTTCAGGACCCCTCCAGGCACCGGAAATGCCCCAGCGACGCGTCCTTAGGCTCTTATGGTTAAAGGAGGGGCCTCTCCCCCTCAAATTCATAAGCTTCCGGTCTCACAAAACAGCTAGACCGTTTTCTTCTGTTTTCTGTTTCTGAAGAAACTGAAGCATAGGTTTTGCCAGGAGTCATCTGACAGCTTTTATAGAAACAGGGACTCTTAATCTCCTCCAGAAAGAGTACATTGTAAGTGGTAGTTTCTCTGTCAATTCCTGACAAATATTTTGCATTCTGCACGAAAGATCCTGGACTTTAGTGACTCTGTGAAGTTTTATTTTTTAAAAAAGGACATACTGGAAATGTTACATTTTTAAATTCAATAACATAAATATTTGATACCAATTTTCTCACTAAAACTCACTTTTTGACCCTCCCTTATCTAGCCCCTATCCCATCTCTAGCCCTAATTCTATTCTCAAAAGATGATTTTGCCAGCAAAAAATAAGTAAGTCTGTTCACAAATTGGAAGACATACAAACAAATCTTGAGAATTTCGTGGCATTTGAATAAAAAGACAGCAATGTATTCATCTTTTCTAATCAAAGAGATTCTGTAAGCTTGAATTTGGAGTGGGTTTTGTTAATTCTGTTTTTCTTCTGTCTCTGGGAAGGCTACGTGAGTTATTTATTCCTAGAGTGAAGCTAAAGAAACTTAGTTCCAAAAAATCCCCAAAAGCCCAGAGAGGACTCTCAGTTCCTAAATACGCCCAAGTGTTAGCTAGAACTCCACCGGCTACATTGAAGGGGAGACCTGTAGATGTCCTCTGCATGAAGCTCATGGGGGCCACGGCCACTCACCTTCCGCACCCACTCAGGCATGACGTGGGTGCTGGGTGAGCGGTGGTGCGTGTTGATGACGATGACGGTGATGATGATGGACGCGATGACGAACACCATGGTGAACAGCATGTATTTACCAATCAAGGGCACAGCGCTAGAGGTGGAAGGGATCAGCTCCACGATGACCAGAAGAAACACAGTCAAAGACAGTAAGACAGAGATGCTCAGAGTCATCTTCTCCCCTGGAGAGACAAAAAGGAAACACAACAACCCACTTATGATGGGCTGATTGTGCCTCCCCCCACCCCACCCCTGCCCATTTATATGTTCAAGTCCTAAGCTCCAGGGCCTCAGAATGTGACTGTGTTTGGAGTCAGGGCCTTTACAGAGGTAATTAAGTTAAAATGAGGTCATATGGGGGGTGTGTGTGGGAGGGCTAATTCAGTATGACTGGTGTCCTTATGAGAAGAGGCCATTAGGGTGCGGACAGATACACAGAGGGAAGACCACGTGAGGACACAGGGAGAAGATGGCCATCTACAAACCAAGGAGTGAAGCCTCCAAAGAAACCAACCCTGCCAGCATCTTGCTCTTTGACTTCTAGTCTCCAGAACTGTGAGAAAATAAATTTCTGTTGTTCAAGCCACCCAGTCTGTGGTATTTTGTTATGGCAGCCAGAGCAAATGAATTCGCCACCAAAACCCAAGGGTGAGAGACATGTGACTGGCATGTTCTCAAGCATTATTCTAAGGAAATTCTTTTCTGCAAAATTTCCTATGCGACGACCTCCACACCTTCACTCTACTGCAAGTGGCAAGCATTTTCTTTAGAGGCTGCCCAGAAGCAAATAGCTACTTCATCTCATGGCCAGAATTCCATTTCTGGGTGGAACCTAAGGAATTGAGAGGAGTTCTGGGCTGGCAAGTTGGGTGTGGATGTTGGTTTTTTCTTCTGCAGCAGAATGTATTAAAACCTTATAAAACTGAACCACAGCCTGGCCTACTTGTTACCCAGCAGATGGATGGACAGCCCAGAAGTACACGTATATTTTTCTCATTATGAGAGCAAGCTGCAAGACAAAACCAAGAAAAGGGCAAAATCTGAAAGGCCAAGGACTTCTCCATGGCAACCTGAATGATCTTCTGATAACAATGATTTTAGAAAGTGATTTCTCACTTTCAATTAAGAGGAAGTTCATCTTCTCACCTATGTCTTTGTTTTGTTTTGTTTTTCATTTTAAGGAAGCAGGGGTTCCCCTGGCCCTGTAATCTCAGGAGTCTTGGCTGGGTAAGCATGGTAGCAGGAAGGCTGGGGCTGGACGGCACGGGGGTATTTTTGTGGGGATTGACATGGTAGAGAAACTTTGGAAGGGACTTTCCTTGGACTGGTCTTGCTGTTGGTGTTCTGGGAAACCTTGTGCTGCCCTGCTTTCTAGTACGGAGCTCTGCCCATACTGGATGCTTCCAGATGCTAGCATAGAAGTATGTACAGGATACAGAGTAGATGCAAACAAGAAATTGTTAATTCTACCTGGTGTGTAGGCAAGGCTTCAAAAGTGAAAAAGAAGACAGAATTCTAAATACAAAATATTTATCAAGTCACATAAGATTTCTGGATTAATCGTATGATAATAATAGCTAACACTTATCAAGCATGGTCATTGTCCTAAATGCTTTTCAAGCATCAATCTTTTAATAGTTATAGACACTCTAATTAGATTCCATAGTGCCCTGACAGTGTTTCCTCTATTCACTTTAAGAAGTTCCATTTGATTAGAAAGTTGAAAAAAGGTTTGTGTTTGTGATCATTTGTTTAAAAACAAGTACATTCGCTGGAACATGCATTCTGTGGGGCGAGGCACTTTCTGTCTAATTCTCTGCTGTCTGCCTGCCACATAACAGCGGCAAATACTTGTTGAATGAGTGAATGAATAACCTTTTTTCCTTCTTGGCAAGTTGGATTTCAGCTTTTATGGGTTTTTAAAAAAATAATTTTGATAAAATTGCTACCTGGCGTACATTTGAAGACTGTCTGTACCAAAAATTGTTTATGGGTAGTGACTTCCTGGCAGGCATATGAGTACCCTTTTCCCTTTCTTGGTAGATTGTTGGTGTTTGATGAAATTATGTCACAGATGTGATTACTCAGTAGGAAGTGAGTGAGTTGTCCAGGCTGATGTGTGAGAAAGAATGGCCCCTTGGGAGGTGTGGTCTGGAAAACAGACATGCAAGAGCTATTTCATATTTTCAAGTGACAAACAATGGGTACAGGATTAGTCGGTACACAGAAAGTGACTTCACAGGGGCATGAGAAGCGCCTGTAAACACACACCTTACCCAGGACATTTCTGGGCACACAGTTGGTATTCAGCAAATAGGTGTTGGTGGTTAATTCACTTTAACCGAGCTGTGGATGTCATCTTTAGGGTCATGTTCAGCTCTCTGCCCACTCCGGATGTCTGCCCCAGCTGTGAGCTCCACCCACGGTGACTTTCCCTGCTGCACATGGCCGCTCAGTAAATCCATCCTCCCGGTGATGATAGTTTGGGTCTCTGCCTGTTTGTTAGCACATGATTATTTCTAGCTTTCCCCAAAATAGCAGCGCGAGAGCCATCAGCGCCAGCAGCAGCAGTCATGGCAACTGCACCCACCTGAGTCTGTGGGCAGGTAGAACACCAGGCCAGTTAAGAAGGAGAAGAGCAGGCAGGGGATGATGACGTTGACGATGAAGTAGAGCGGCAGGCGCTGCATGACGAAGTGGTAGGTGATGTCCAGGTAGGGGGTGGTGGGGCAGCAGGAGTAGAACACCCAGTGCTTCCAGCCACGGGACTCCTTGATCACCCACTCCCCGCTCTCCATGAAGTTGCTCAGGTCTGGCTTGTCACTTTCCTGAGAAGTGAAAGGAGGTTTGGAGATCCCAGCCACATCAGCCCGAGGAGGGGCGAGGTTTCACAATCAGCAGTGACAAGGCCAGGGCTCCAGCTCTGTGGGTCACATACCCAGAGGGACAACCCTGGGCCACTAATGCTTTGGGGTCTTAGGTTCCTTTCCTGTAACATAAGGGGGTTTGACTATTGGTATTCTCCATTTTGGCTACACATTCAAGTCACCTGGGGGCTTTAAAACATGTTGGTGCCCCAGCCCCGCCCGAGGCTGATTAAATCAGAATTCTGGGCATAGGGAATCCACTTAAGCTCCCAGTTAATTGTCAAGTGCAGCACATCAAGAAGCTTCCCAACCAATTAGAGCCATCAAGCTAGATGAGTCCCAAGTTGTAACTGGTGCTGAGAGCCTGTGCTTATCCAGGCTGAGTTGGAGATCTGAATCACACTTTTCCTGAAACCAACCTCGTCCCATGTAGTCACCACCTACCGGATTGATGGCCACCACAGAGCCATCGTAGGTCCAGGTGCCCAGCTTCATGCTGCAGTTCTGTTCATCAAAGGGAAAGTGGGTGACGATGATCTCACAGTAGCTTTTAAAGATGGCTGGAGGTGTCCACGTGATGTGGCCAGTGTAGTCCAGGAGCACTTTGGTGAACTTGACAATGGCGAAGTCACCATCTGCACTACAGTTGGGATAAAAGAGGAAAATGGCTCCAAGTGACAGATGAGCCTTCCATTCTGCTAGGGGATGTTAACAGGAGACAGCTGTTAATTATTCAGGCACTAATTATAGAAGCTTTCTTTTGGGCAGTGTCACTTTTTATCTATTGCAATGTTTCCCAAATTTGATAATAACAATCACTGGGGTGCTTTTTAAAAATGCAGATTCCTGCCTACCGTCTAAATAAGCCCCAAACCAGAATATCTGGGAAGAATGTGAGAGCCTACAGTTTTCAAGAAATAACAGGTAACAGGGGTCCACTGCATCCCAGATTTTTTTCAGTCCTCGGTAGTATTTGTAACGTTAATCTCCATCTATCCACTCCTTGATGTACTTTGAGAGTTAATTGGGAAAAAAACACAGGAATTTTAAATGAAAGCACCTGCAGCAGCTCATTACTGTGACAAGCAGGCTAGGGGAGGAGTCTACTACCTTTTCAAGAACTATTTAGAACTCAGTGAGGTGGGTCACAAACTCAGATGCCTCCAGGGCAGGGCGGGTGAGGATGGTGCTGAACAGAGAGCCCCTCCTCTCAGGAAGGCACCACTACGCCGTGTCCACGTGGAAGTGAAGGCCCAATGTTGCCAGGTATTTGGATTCTTCCTCAGAAGTTGGAAATCTAGATTTGTTTTTTAGATCAACAATTTCCAGATTTTTAAATGTGGGATTTTTCTAGAGAGTTTTAAAAAATCCAGATTTTAATGTTGTATTTCCCCATTTTCAAATGTTGGTGATAATTTCTTGTTTAAAAAAAACACCATGGGAGGTACTGAAAAATAATAAGCCACTTGTGCAGGACCTATTTGGTGGGCAGCTCACTCTTTCTATAAACAGCCTGTGTCCAAGGACGTGGCAGAGAGCAGGGCGTTAGAATAGATGTTGAATGGGTGGTGTGGGGTGGGGCTGGCCACAGTGGGGTTTATGTCCCTCAGTGGGACTTAATGTCATATTGGCCCCTCATGTCATAAATCAAGAGATTTTCTTCCCATTGACTTTTCTTTGGGCCTGAAGTGGGGGCTTTTTATCAGAAAACTGCATGGGCCTGGACCTTCCCAAAAGAACCTCACAGAGCAGAGAATCATAGGTTGGTCAGTCTGCCTCTATAAGCAGGTGAGACAGGGTTCTATCCATCAGGGTGTTTCTGAGTGTGTGTGTCAAGAGGACCAGAGGGTTATCATCGCTTCCCTCAGATTCTTGCTGAAAGAGAAACTGGACACAAGGTAGCCAGCTTCATCAGCCCATTTGTCCAAAAAGGTTACACAAATGATTGGATAATTTGGCTCAAGCTTGAATGGACAGTATGTGGTAGAAAATCAAGGCTGGCTGATTGGGGAGGGGTCATCTTAAAGGGTATCATTTTCATTCGCTACCCCGTAACCTCCCCTGAGTCTGCTAGGACACACAGCTTGCTTGACCCCTGACACATGTTGTATAAAGTCAGACCATAAATCCTTCCAGCTGGCGTCAAATGCTCCTGCCTGGGAAGGATGCTCTTTGAAAGGAATATTCCCTGACAAATGAAGGGCGTATGATAATGAAAGTGTCATTAAACCAGAGTGTCTTGAATCACATTCTAATTTCACAACATGCAGTCTGTCTCGGGGCCCAGTGGATGGGTAATGTAGGTGTCCCTGGCTGTCAGCAGCGCTTGGTGTCGGGGTGGCACTCAGGATGTGATGAATAGCAACCCCAGGAGGTTCAGACCTATTTGGTAGGGAGGACATTTGATTCCAAGGAACCCGGACATATGACATTTAGGTGGTATGTTTGTCATGTGCCCTTCAGGAACTCTTGGGGGTTAAATGTCCCCCACCCTCAGTCCAGATTCAATTTGGCTCTGATAATCGTTTCTCTTCATGACATGAGACACCATATGGCACCCCTAGTCTGTCGACTTGGCTCTTGGATTTTAAGGCTTATTTAACGTTAGCAGTGGTGAGAAGCACTCCGGCGTGCAGCCCTTCCACTAGGGCACTTGGCCCCTCCAGCCCCCCAAGAGCTCCCCGTCCCTTCCCTATCCATTTTGCTTACTTGTTATAGAGAACAATGTCTGGGCGCCAGATCTTTTCCGAGGGAACGTGAATTTTTTTAACACCACCATAATCATCTGGATTCCATTTTAGGTTGTAATCCACCCATTGCTAGAAACAAAGACATTTAAAGTCTAGGGTTATTGAGAGACCTGAGAGTCATGGCAATTCAGATATTGGCAGAAATTGTGCTTCAGTAAGAAAACTTTGATTCAGAATTTAGCTTTCATTTTAGTAAACAAGAACAGCAAACATATAGCGCTGGCTGTATGCAGGCTCTGTTCCAAGCCCTTTAACTATACTATTAATAATTCATTTAGCCCTCCCAGTCCTATGAGGTAAGAGCAATTATTGGCCCCATTTTACAGATGAGGAAACAAGGTGGTACCTCTGCCACCTCCCAGTCATGCACCTGGGAGGCGGCAGATCCATGATGTCACACTGCCCCCAGGAAAGGAGAATGACCCTAGTGTGAACATTTTCCTCAAGTAGGCATCACTGTTTTTAAAAAGTATTATGGGCTGGGCGCAGTGGCTCACGCCTGTAATCCTAGCACTCTGGGAGGCCAAGGCGGGCGGATTGTTTGAGCTCAGGAGTTCAAAACCAGCCTGAGCAAGAGCGAGACCCCGTCTCTACTAAAAATAGAAAGAAATTAATTGGACAACTAAAAATATATAGAAAAAATTAGCCGGGCATGGTGGCGCATGTCTGTAGTCCCAGCTACTCGGGAGACTGAGGCAGAAGGATTGCTTGAGCCCAGGAGTCTGAGGTTGCTGTGAGCTAGGATGACGCCACGGCACTCTACTCCAGGCAACACAGAGAGACTCTGTCTCAAAAACAAACAAAAAAAAGTATTATGGTTTCTTACGTTACAAAAGGTTGAGCACCCAAAATCTGAAATCTAAAATGCTCCAAATTCCAAAACTTTTTGAGCACCAACATGACACTCAAAGGAAATGCTCATTGGAGGATTTCAGATTAGGTATGCTCAACTGGTAAGTATATTAAAATATTCCAAAATCTGAAAAAATTGGAAATCCAAAACACTCTGGGCCCCGGCATTTCAGGTAAAAGGTGCTCAACCTGTATATGTCCAGTGCAGCAAAGTTGGATAACACAATGTCAATGGGTTGAATTGTGTCTCCTAAAATTCATACTGAAGTCCTAACCCTCAGTACTTCAGAAAGTGACCTTGTTTGGAGACAGGTTCTTTACAGAGGTAATGAAGTTAAAATGAGAGGACAGGCACAGTGGTTCACGCCTGTAATCCTAGCACTCTGGGAGGCTAAGACAGGAGGATCCCTTCAGCTCAGGAGTTCGAGAGCAGTCTGAGCAAGAGCGAGACCCCATCTCTACTAAAAATAGAAAAAATTAGCCAGGCTTGGTAGTGTGCGCCTGTAGTCCCAGCTACTTGGGAAGCTGAGGCAGGAGGATCCCTTCAGCCCAGGAGTTTGAGGTTGCTGTGAGCTAGGCTGACATCACTACACTCCAGCCTGGGCAACAGAGCGAGACTCTGTCTCAAAAAAAAAAAAAAAGTTAAAATGAGGTCATTAAGGTAGACCTTCATCCAATATGACTGGTGTCCTTATAAAAAGGGGAAATTTAAACATATTTACAAATATATGTATATCCCACATGTACACAGGGAGAACCATGTGTATGTGAAGACAGTCACCTACAAGCCGAGGAGAGAGGCCTGGGACAGATCCTTCCCTCATGTCCCTCAGAAGGAGCCAACCCTGCAAACTCCTTGACTTTGGACTGCTAGTTTCCAGAATTGTAAGATGATAACTTTCTGTTGTTTAAGTCACCCAGTTCGTAGTTCTTTGTTACGGCAGCCCTAGCAAACTAATGCACACAGAAAAGGCCAAAGTAAGAACATATAAACAGAACCCAAACAGAATCCATTCTCCCACCATCCCAAAATGCTCACTTTCAGCATTTGGGTATATACCCCTGCTACCCAAATTGATTTCCTATGGGCCCAAGTTAATTTCAGGGTGAATAAAAATGACTAAAATGCAATTATCTAGCTGAATTACCTGTTTCAGACGAACATTGGTTGTCACGATCTGATTTACTTCATCCTGGAAAAAGATAAGGCCCCATCTTTAGGGGGTGGGGGAGCCAAGGGGAGGAGGCCCTGGGGTGTGGGTGCACGGGGCCTGAGCGCTTGTCTCACCACGTTGATGAGCTGTATCAGCTGCAGGCCCACGGTGACCTCCACAACCTGGCGGTGGTCTTCCACTGGCCGTACCACACTGCTGTAGTCTTTAAATAGCTTTGCCACCAGACGGGTCTCATGTTCGGAGCCCAGGACAAGGCCAGCTGAGACAGCAAATGACACACAAACTGTCAGATTCTGTTCCCAAATTCCATACACACGAACGTGAGGAATTAAGGCCTAATTAGTTAATGGAAGGCACGCAGCCCCCTTGTGGAAGGGCTCCCAAATGCGGCTATGATTGCCTTAAGTTCCTTTCCAAGCAGAGTTGCTGGTGTGGTCCCTTACCAGGCAACAGTGGGGCATACTCTGGACAGGTGACATTCCTTGATATAGCCCCCGGCTTAATCAAGTTTGGCAGGTACACACAGCCACACACACGAAGAAAACATCCACAGAAAAGCCAATCTCAGTATTTCTGAGTCTTATCACAGTGTAATGAAATTCTGGACTGGCTGGCCTCAGATCTCATGAACAGCCAAAACTGGATGCTGGCTCAAGTCCACTAGAAAGGCCATAGTTAACAAAGTGGAAAATAACTAGGGTTGGTGAAATGGTATTTCCTTAACGAGTTAAACAGAGTTACCACACGATCCAGCAATTCCACTCCCCGGTATGTACCCCAAAGATTACGGCACTATTTACAATAGCCAAAAGGTGAAAACAACTCAAGTGTCCATCCACAGATAAATGGATGAACAAATTGTGATATATCCGTACAATTCAGCCATAAAAAGGAACGATATACTGATACGTGATACAACATGCATGAACCTCGAACGCATTATGTTGAGTGAAAGAAGCCAGACACAAAGAGGCAAATCCTGTATGATCTCATTTATGTAAAATATCCAGAATAGAGGCCGGGCGCCGTGGCTCGTGCCTGTAATCCTAGCACTCTCGAAGGCTGAGGCGGGAGGATCACTTGAGGTCAGGGGTTTGAGACCAACCTGAGTAAGAGTGAGACCTCATCTCTACTAAAAATAGAAAAGTTAGCCAGGTGTAGTGGTGTGTGCCTATAAGTCCCAGTTACTCCGGAGGCTGAGGCAGGAGGATTGCTTGAGCCCAGGAGTTTGAGGTTGCAGTGAGCTATGATGGCGCCACTGCATGCCAGGGTGACAGAGAGAGACTCTGTCTCTAAAAAAAAAAAAAAAAAAATCCAGATTAGAGTCCATAGAGTCAGAAAGCAGGTAGGTACTTGGAGGAGAGAGAAAATTTTATGTAATGAGTATTTTACCACAATTAAAAAAATACTACTGCTGGTGGATACATGTCCCAGTTGAGTTGTTAAAATAGACTGAAGTCTCTGTGCTTCGTTTACCTGGGTTTGGGGCTCCTATTTGGAACACGAGTGATTCCAAATAGAATCTTTATTACATTTCCCTTCAGGATAGAGAGCGATACTGACTAGTACTCTCAGAGCCCACAGCCCTTGCTGTTCGATATGTTATGCGCTCCTCCCCAGCCTTGGATGAACCAGGCGGGCAGACGTTCTCACCGGAGATTCAGAGGCTGGATGAGTTGCCCAAGGTCATGTGGCTGGTAAGGGCAAAGCTCGGATTAGAACCCTGTCATTCTGCGCTGTGCTCCTGCACCAACTCTTCATATTAAGAGTGTGTTGTAGGCTGTCTGGGAACCCTTGCAACTGCATGTACCACTATTCCTATGAGAAACGAGTTCCAAATTCCAGCAAGGGCTTTATGAAGGATCTTTGTAACTGAAGCCTTGCATGGATTGAGGACTATCTGTTCAGGGCTGGGAGAGGAAGCAGACACACGATCCCTTTGTCCTGATCCATGTAACCAGATCTCCCTTTTCCGCAGGTTATTGCTGAAGCCACCATGACTTCTCCCTGGGCCAAGAGGACTTAAAAATCGAATGAATGAGATGCTTTCCCTTTTTGGTCAGTAGTATTAACTTATCACTTCTAAGACAAATTATTATTTTTCTTTATTATTTTTCTCCTTGAGTCCTACTTTTGGAAGAGTTTGTCAACAAAGTAACTGTGAAGTAAGAAGTAATTACTTTTTCTATTTTTATTAGTCAATAAAAATAATAGCTAACACATCCAACCTTTTATGTGCTGGACACACTTCTATGTGCTTTGTATATACTTACTTTTTCAATCCTTGATGGGTGAGGTAGGTACTATTATTGTCCTCCCTTTACAGATGAGGAAATTGAGGCTCAGAGAGGTTAAGTGACTTGCCCAGATTTTATAGGTGGTGGAGCCAGGATTCAAATCCAGAACCGATTTTCTCAACCACTCTTTTTCACCCAGAACAGTGAGTGGGTCAGCATAAATTGCAATGTTGTGCAATGAATCAGTGCATTTTCATCCCCCCAAAGTGTATGTTTAAATTCTCCCATAGAGCTTTGTTGAAGCCCCTGTGTTTGTGTTATCTTACTGAATCCTTGCAATGATCCTACGAGGTAGTGTTCACTCCTACTTTGCAGATGAGGGAATTGAGGTACAGAGAGCTAAGTGATGTATTCATGGCTCCCCAGCTAGTTGGTGGTGGGATTGCAAACAGAGGTACTTTGCCTCCTCCCCAAAGGGAAATGTATCATTTCCATTTGGATAGTTGAGCTTTCAATGTAGCTTAAATATCTTCATTGTTACCTTCATGAACCCTATGTAGGGAACCCCTGACCTAGCCTGTCTGTACATTTCTAGTTTCCCAAGTTTTCTGAACCCCAAAGTTTCTAAGGGCACTCAAGGTGCCCAACCATGCAGAGCTTTCATGTGGCTTCTCCCTAAAACCATCTGCATTTGAGGATGTTCCAAGGGACTGTGTTGTTGAAAGACCCAGTTTTTGCAGCCACCCCATTGAGCCCCTGGGACCTAGCGATCCTTCTGTCCTCCAGGCCTTGTCTGTCCCGGGCCCCATCCACTCCATGGTGGGGGCTGGAGGTGGGAATGGATCACTGCATGCCATGGCCAGAGTTTGAAGCTGTTGCTTTGGCATTGCCCTGGGCTGCTTATTTTTAAGTGATTGTTTATTCCAGTTTGACAGGAAGAACATACTAGAAAGCAATGGCTAGAGCAGATGGTCAGCATTATGTAGCAGGAAAATTATGCAGACCAACCCTCTGGTCCACTAAGGAGAACGGAAAGAAGGGGAAGTAGGCATGGCCAGCTTTCCAGCGACTCACCGCCTCCTCTCCCACCCTAGCTGATAACAAGATGCCTTGTTCCTCCCATAAGGAATTTCTGAGGAAGTCTCCATTTCTTAGATTTGTTTCATTGGTATTCTTTTCTTTTTTCCTTTCTAAAGCAAGGTAGAGTAATAGAAAACTTACAAGACTTGAAGTCAGAACTCTATGAGTCCCTTCCCAACTCCAAAATGATCTGGAGAGTTGGACCAGTTCTTCATGATTCAATGAATCACAGTAAATACTCTTCATAAAAAGGTAGGATGTAAATAAGCAAGCATGCAGGTAAATAATTCAATAATGTCTAATCTCCCTTTTTGGCAAAATCATATTTGTAATCTTTATACAGTTAGTGGTAATATTAATTCATTCATCAAATATTTGTTGAGCATTTACTGTGTGCAAAGCCTTGTTTTAGGGGCTTTGAGGTATTCAAAGGTGAATCTGACACGAATCCTATCTTCCTACCCTCATGGAGATTGGCATTTGTCATTTACATAAATAACTGCGAACAAATTGGAAAGTCCTATGCTGTAAGAAAGGTGGCAACGAAGTTCTTGGGATTCCATAGGTGGAAGAAAGGAAAAGGTTGAAATGAAAAATGCTGTATAAAGAGAACAGACGTCATTATGTGTTAAGCTAACACAGAAAAAATGACCCTGATATAAATGAGAAGTTTGCCCATGAAGGACTGATTCTTAGCAGGAGAACTCAACCAAAATTTCAAACTGTTCTTCTTGTACCAGACTGGTTCAATCTGTATTTTTATGTAGGAAACAGCCCCTAGGTTAGGCAAAAAGAATTTAGAACAGTTACTAGTCACTGTGGATAGTTCTTATCTCAATCTGATGCTATGTCTCTTGCTACCTTTGGCAATTTTGGTCTGTGTTTTCTGACTGTGCTTGTAACAAACCGACTTTCCAACTGATCACATTCCAAGGTTCGTAAACCAAGTGACCTTGGGCGGGTCAGTTCATATCTTTCACCTTCAGTTTCCTTATAATAAAAAACTGAGGGTGTTGGACTGTGGATCTAGCTCTAAATTTCTATGAACCACCTGCAGGAATTGATACCAGCAAACTCCAGGTTTGATCTAAATACATATTACATACTTCTTTTAATAGCTAACCATGCATTTTTGGAGGTCTTAGGTGTCTTAAGAGATCTCCTAAGTATTTTTACATGGAAACATATCATTTAAGAATTTTCATTGAGCGTGGTGTTTGTACACACACACACACACACACACACACACACCCCCACACCCACCCACCCCCCCACCCCCAGGCTAGCTTTGGTTGGATCAAGTCCAAATCCCACAGGATATAATTTATCTGAGTTTAGGCTATTTTCCTCATCTCTGCTCTTGAAAAAATTAATAGTAAAGCTCTTTACCTCTTGCCCAGAAGGCCTGTGTTTGTCAGAGAAATATTAGAAAAGAGAAATCACAGGATGTCAGCCACCTTGTTTCTCAGTTGGGATGATATCACCAGTAAACTTTCATATGAAGCAATCAGCAAACATCTCCTGTTTCCCTCTACCGGAAGTTTGGGACTCAGGATAGTGTTTCGGCTGCTGTGTTGTGACACATTCCAGACTAGAATGCAGGTCAAGGGCAGTATGGGTTTTACAGTTTCAATTCAAACCCAAACCTACATACAGTAATGTCTTTTAAAAAAAAGTAGACAGAAATGCATTCATACAGAATTTTTTTTAACTTCAGAAGTTTGAAAAATATATATTTCTATCTTTGTGGAGTTTAGTTACAATTATTAACAGGTTTCTGTCTCCAGCACATGTAGCTGTCAATCAATTCTCTTCATTGTTAGAATTCTCCTAGAGCAGTAAAAGGACTTGTTAACTATATTGTTTATGATTATAAGTCACAGCTCTAAGGCCCGGTAGTTGTTCAAATACGAAAGCAGCCCAGGCTGCTACAGTGGTCTATAGGTGAGCCAGGTTCTGCAAGTGGTGCTGAGTGCTCATTTGGGTGAGTTGGGTGCCAGGCACTGGTGGAGGGAGAAACCTGCATGTCTACCTTATAGCTTTTGACACAGACTAAAAATCTCTATCTAAAAACCCCATGGAGCCAACATCAGGAAGAAACGGACAGAGGCCCTGCCATTCTGCATTCCCATCAAAGAAGCAAGACTTTGGTTTGGGGGCCTCTAGTGCTTCAGCCTCAAACAGAGCCCTCTCCCCACCCTGATCCCAGCACTTACCTGAGCAGAGGCCAAGGAGCAGGAGGAGAGGCCAGGGCTCCATGGGCTGTGGGTGCTGGTGTGGACCGGTGGCAGAGCAGTGTGGACCGGTGGCAGAGCAGTGGCCTGTGCTGCTCACTGGCACTCTCTGGCTGGATGCTTCGCTGCTAGAGGGTTTGGAAAGTGGGTCGGCTCAGTGGAGCTATTGTTTTACACCACCTGTTTGCTGCAGTGACAGCTGGGCTGCCCACAGCCCTGGAGCCCAGGGAGTCGCTGAGGGCCTGACACTATTACAGATGTGCCTCGCTTTACACAACTGCTGTACCCTCAGAAAGTTGAGTATGAACTGCATTCCATTTTAAATGCACCATGAGTCAGGTCTTAATGAAAAAAAAAGTAAGGAAGAAATTATTTTGAATGGTGAGCAACCCCCTCCCTTTTGTGTAAACCAGAACTTCATCTCTGTGGGTTGATTTGATTAGGGTTATTTGGCCTGAGTAGACAGCTGTTTTTGCTAAACCACAAAAGTCCACATTCTGCAAACGTGAAAATTCATTTCCTCTGCTTCAGGGTTAGGCCTGGGGCTTTTGTGACTGCATGAATCCCAGAGAAGTATGGTTGGTGTTGGTGCAGAGTTCCCCATGTTTGATTGGGCTTGGTTTTTAACAAAGATGGCTTCTTCCATAAAACTGGCTTTACTCCCCCGACCCCCGGGTGGCTGTTCCAACCCGTCTGTGTACCAGGCAATACCTCTCCCACGGGGGCTATTAGCTGGAGGAAATCGCCCACCTCCCCTGTTCTGCTGTTCGAGTGAAGAGTAATTGCTGGGAAACGGTGTCCCACCACGCCAGCAGCTGTTCCATGTTCCAGCTTCCTCCCATCGTTCCTCTGCCTACTCTCGCTCAGGGAAGCAAAGAGCAGAGTGGTTCCGCTTTTCAATTCCTCTGTTTAAAAAACACCCTAAGAAACAGCAGTTTGTAATTGCTCAGTTTGAGGCGTATTTTTACCCAAACTGAGCTTCTTTGCAGGGTTTGAAGTGGGTTCATAGGGGGAAGCAGTTAGAGATACGCTACCTGTTCCTTCTGTGACTCCTTCCCAATTGGATTGGGTGAGAAAGGTCTCACCTCTCAAGCCAAGGTCAGCATCTGAACAAATCCCCCCAATCATTAGAGAAGGGGCTTGGGGGATAGAGCAGAGAGCTGCAAGCTCACATTACTTAGATTTTTCTGTTTAGGTGGTGGGAGGTTGGTTAACTGTTGGTGGAAAAAAAATGGTTCTCTGCCTTCCATAGCATAGCCCTGTGGCTGCCTGGCTGGGGAATACATCCCCCCAGCCCCACCCAGCCCCTTCCATCTAAATGGAGCCATGTGACTGAGCTCCAGCCAGGTGAGAAGTTTTCTTAGACTCACAAACCTCCTACCAGAGCCCATTCATGCCCTTCTAGTGCTCTGACCTGCTGAAATGGACTTGACCCTGAGGTCAACCTCAGAAGCCTCATACTGAAGGTGGCCTTGCTTTTGACATTCTGAACCCTTGACTGCCTGTGTGGAGGGAGCCCCCCACCAAACCAGTCACCACACAGCACTGTTTCAGTGAGAACAAAACATATATTGTGTTGAGCCATTAAAATTCTTGGGTTTATTTGTACAGCAGCTAGTATCACCATAGTTAATACAAAATGTAGGCCCTTGGAGTGGGATCCTGCAGTTAAAAGTAAACTCTAAAATATATAGCGTTGCAGAGGAGACAAGAAAAGTGATATTGGAGGCTCAAAAGATGAAGACTCATGTTATATATAGCAGCAAATTATTTAATAAAACAGTTTTCCTCAGTTTCTTGGTGAGCAAAGCATCTACTGAGCCTGAGGCTCCCGGAGAGGAGGTTGATGAGCACAAAGTTAGTGCGAGTTGGTTCTTGCTTGCTTTGCTTAGCAAGTCAGTACATGGAGGAGTTGAGCTCAGGCAAGATCCACCGGTTCAAGAGCAGAAATGAAAAAGGAACAGAATGAGTCCAGAAATCTGGAGTCTTCTGCTTTGAATTCCAAAGAGCAAGTGATAACATGGAAAAAAGGCTTTGAGCAACAAAAGCCTGTTAAGGCTTCTCCTTAAACATTAGTTTCACCACTACAGCAAAGGTCGGTGTAAGCCTGCTTTCTTCACACTGAATCCTATTTTTTCAACCTTCGAGAAGGTTGAAGGAGAGAGGCATAGGGGTTGGGATGCAAAGGAATAAATCACCCTTGAGAAGGGTGTCTAGAAAAGAACGTCTGTGTACATACTGACATGCGAAATGACTGGAAACAAGTATTTCAGAAGCTTATTAGGTATCTGAAGGAATGGGATTGCCAAAGAGTTCATGAACCCAGAAAGTAAAAGCTTTGGTTGCTCAAGGCTTAGAATAGTCCTTGAGTGCCCAGATGCACATCTGCAGAAAGCAGGCTACCAAATCTTCCCTGTCTCCCAAGGCAGGTGCTCTCCCATTGCCTGCTTCTGATGTGGCTGTGGGGGTTAAAGGTCAGGGAAGAACCTCCCAGGGGACACGGCCAGGAACCTCAGACAGCAACCGACAAGGGAGTTCCTCCCAGAGAGCAAATTCAGGTCGACTCAAGGAATCTGTCACAGAGCCTCTCGTGCCCACCCAGGTTCCCTTGGCTTTCTGCTTACTGCCAACACCTGCAATTCTCTGGCTGAGGGAATTTTTTTTTTCCTGACGATAGGAACACATGGGACAAGCTGGAAGTGCATAAATGTTACTGCCACCAGAAACAGGCCTCGACCAGTGTGGGAGGATAAATACCCCAGCTTCCTCACCCCTTGGCTGGCTGACTCCCAGGCATGCTTTACCCCATCCTCAGAGCTCCTCAGTGGGACAGAGCCCCTTTGCCCGTGGTGGACATGGCTTAATAACCCTCCCTTTGTTAGCTTCCTTCCCTTCTCTGTCTCCTTTCCCCACTCTGCCACCTCTCAAGTAAACTCCTTTCAGGATCAGCTTCTGGGGGTCCTCAAATCAAGACAATTTCTCCCACCACCTGGGCAGGGGGTCTTCACAATGATGTTACTGGGTGCTTCCCCGCATTTCCATCATCTCACCAAATCTCTTCTGTCGGGGGACAATTGAAACGGTAGACTAAAAACAATTCCCAAAACTGTGATTGACCTCAGGAATAAACCTATTTTTTTATTAAAAAGTTTATAACTCAAGTAATTTGAATTTGTTATAGAAAAATTAGAAAACAGACGAACAAAAAGACCCATTATCCTACCCAGAAATATTTATCATTAACTGTTTAGTTTGCATCCATTTATTTAGATCCTTTCCGTGTACGCATTCATGCATTCGTGCAAACATTTTTTTCTTTGGGTTTTGCTATGTGCCAAGCACCATTCTAGGCATTTGGGATACATCAATAAACCCAACAGAAGAAAATTTCTCTTCCTCAGGAAAAATGTATTCTCATTGGAGAAGGGCAATAGAAAGTATATGTATAAAATTACTAACAAGTAAATTGTTTAATATGTTATCAGATAAACAATGCTATGGGAAAAATAAAAAAACAGAGCAGGTTAAAAGGGACCAGGACAGCTGGAGGGGGATTGCAGTTTTAAACTTGGCAGGTAGGGTGGGCTTCGCTGAGGATGTGACTTTGGACGGAGGTGCGGATGTCTGTGAGAGGACATTCCAGGCAGAGTGAACAGCGACGGGGAGTCCCTAAGGGGAACAGGCCTGGTGTGCTCGGGCATAGGTAGAAAGCCGCAGGCCGGAGCAGGATGAGTGATGGGGACACAGCTAGGAGCCATCAGAGAGGAGCCCCAGGAAGGGGGACACAGCACGCCTCGTAGGCTTTTGCTGTGAGATGAGGAGCTGCTGCAGTGTTTGAGCTGAGGAGGGCTGTCATCCGACAGCTGTCAAAGGTCGACTCTGGCTGCTGTGAGGACACGAGGCTGTGGAGGGACAAGTTAGGAGCCACTGCAGTCGTCCACGTGGCCGATGGTGGTGGATTGGACCAGAGTGGTGGCAGTGAAGGAGGTAAGAAGTCATTGGATTTGGAAAATAGATTTTGACGTGGTATCTAACAGGATTTCCTGAAGGATTGGATCTGGGATGGAAGAAAAAGGCATTAAAGATGATTTGCAGGGTTTTGGCTTGTGCATTAGGAAGGATTTAGGTGCCAACAAGTAAATGGATTAAGGAAGCCTGTGGGTGAGCAGGTTTAAAGGGGGAAAATGAGGAGTTCTGTGACGGACGGGATGAGTTTGAGAAGTCTGTTGGAAACGTGAGCAGGCAGTTGGATTTAGGAGTCAGGAGTTTAGGAGACCTAGTGTAGGATAAGGTCAAAGAATGAGTACAGTCAGAGAAGAGATGAGGACTAACATTGGACAGCAGGGAGAAGAGGGGGATGCAGCAAAGACGGAGGCAGCAATGAGGCAGGAGCAGATCCTGCAGAGGGGGGCGTTCTGGAAGCCCGCGAAGGACCAGTACAGGGAGCAGGGAGGGCGGCGCTGTGTTCCGATGCTGCTGAGGGCGCCACAGGATGATAGCCACGACCTTGGGGCTCCACACCGTGGAGGCTGCTGGCGACCTTGACACGTGCAAAACCTGGCTGGAGTAGGTTTAAGAAGAACAGAATTGGAGGGACTTTACTGCAAAGGGTAACAAAGAAATACGGTGGTAACTGGTGGGAGAAATAGAGGCGAAAGAATTGTTTTGTGCCCCCTTTTTTGGAAAAGAGAAATAACAGCCTATCTACATGATGATCATAATGATCCAACAATAACGATCAAAGCAATTGATTGTGTAGCAGGGAGCAGGAAGAAACATCACTAAAATGTTTTAAATGGGATTTACTATATGCTTTTCTATAACTTGCAAAATATACAAAAATATGTTCCTAGTCAAATAATGTAGCTCTGTTTTCATTTCTAATGGCTGGAGAATATTCTATTTTTTGAGTGTACCATAATTTGTTTAACCAATCCCTTACTATTGGACACTTGGGTGGTTTCCTTTTTTGTTTTTATTTTTTACTTTTGCTTTGATTAATAATCATGCAGTGGACATCCTTATACATACAAATCACCACCATT